GTCTGGACCATGATGACGAATTGATTTAGAGGCAATTAACAGTCTTGGGTTTGTGAGATGAAATTTTCCGGATATGCGAGTTGGGTAGGTATGGACAGAGCTATTGAACTTAAACATGTCTTCAAAAGACGAAGGGAGCAGATTATTAATATACTTAAACATAATGATAGCTATTTGAAAAGTATATAAGTCGGCAATTTTTAGTGCTTTTTGTTTAAAAAATAAAGGATCGATGTGGGCCAAGTAATGCGATCCTGTACAAATGCGAATTGCTCTCTTTTGTAGTTTGAAAATAGGAGTCAGCTTTGTAGAAGCACAACTACCCCCAAACGACGTTACAGTAGGTTATATATGGGAGTACTAACGAATTATACAATAAAAATAAAGTTTTATGAGGTAAAATAAATCTTAACTTGGAAATTATTCCAATACTTTTTGAGATACTTATTATGATATGGTGCAGATGTTCATTCCAAGATAAAGTTTGATCTATGATAACACCTAAAAATCTAGAGTGAGTTTTCTGCTCTAATGGCATGCCGTCAATCTGTAAGTGAATTGGAGTATCAGTAATATGAGAATGGTGTTTAAAATAGATGAAGTGGGTCTTTTTTGTGTTCAAAGATAGTTTGTTAGCTTTAAACCATTGTGATACTTTGTTTATTTCATGATTTAATATGTTGTTTAAGGAAGTGAGATTTTTATGAGAAAAAAAGATATTTGTGTCGTCAGCGAATAGTACAAAAGATAAAATGGAGGATGTATTAATAATGTCATTGACATATAGCAGAAATAACAGTGGGCCTAGAATGGAGCCTTGAGGGACACCACATTGAACTAAAAGTAAATCAGAGTCATAACCATTAAATGTGACATATTGTCTTCGATTTCTTAAATAATTTTTAAACCAAAGGAGTGATTGACCTCGTTTACCATAATAATTAAGTTTTGAAAGTAAAATATCGTGATTAAGTGTATCGAATGCCTTACTGAGGTCACAAAATATACCAATGACATGTTCTTTGTTAGCTATGGCGTTTGTAATTTTATCATAAATTTGGATTAAAGCCAGGTTTGTTGAGTAATTTTTTCTGAAGCCATATTGATTAGAAGTTAGCAAATTGTGTTTGTTGATAGATTCATAGAGTCTATTATATACTATTTTTTCAAAAATGTTGGATATACTTGGGAGTAGAGATATGGGGCGATAATTTCTAATTTCATGAGGGTTGTCCTTTTTGAAAATTGGATTGATTTTGGTGATTTTGAATAAGTCCGGAAAAACACCTTGTGATAATGATTTATTGAAAATGTGACTAAGAGGGTTAGCAAGTGGGTGGATTATTTTTTTTAAAGAGACACACTAATTCTATCATGCCCGTGAGATTTGGAGTTGTTAATAGAACGTGTAATATTGATAATTTCGGTGGGGTTCGTGGGGCTCAAGAACAGAGAATGTGGATTAGGTTGGGGGAGATAATCCGTGAAATGCGCATTTCGGCTATTAATCTTGCTTGCAAGTTCGGGTCCGATGTTTGTAAAAAAATGAATTAAATGAGTATGCATGAAGGGAAGAGTCAACTTTAGAATCATTTAAAGTCATATCATCAGTAGGTGGGGGATTTTCCTTAGTTCCCATTACCTCTTTGATGATTTTACATGTAGCATTAGTATTTGAACTGACATCCTTTATTCTATTAGCATAATAAATTTTACGTGATATACGAATTAATTTTGTCAACTTGTTGCGATATAACTTGTATGTTTTTAAATTGGCTTCAGTAGGATTGTGTAAATGTGATTTGTAAAGGCGATTACGTGTCTGTATTGATTTCAATAAATCCTTTGTTATCCAAGGATGTTTTGGGGTTTTTCTATTATTTTTTACTTTACCTATGGGAATATTTTTTTCATAATAATGTTGTAATTTATTATTCAAGAGATTATATGATATGTTCGCGTCAGCTTCATTGTATACATCCTCCCACCCCTCAATTAATAAGTCTTGCTTCATTAATTCAATATTACGTTCAGATTCTTTTCGATATGTACGTTGGTTAAATGATTTGGGGCATGGTAGTTTTAATTCACAAGTTAAAAATATTGGTAAGTGGTCTGAAACTTCGGAGCATAGAATTCCTCCTATCATTTTGTTATTCATGTTGTTATGTACGTTGGAAAAAATGTTGTCAATTTGAGTTGATGAATATGGGTTAATTCTGGTGGATTTATTGATGAATGAATGGAAGCCGAATGAGTACATAAGTTTCATAAATTTGTTTGAGTTATTATTGACGACTGAGGGTAAGAAATTGATATTAAAATCTCCAAGAATAAAAGTATGCTTATTTTCATTACCTATTATATAGAGATATTGCTCAAGTTCCTTATAAAATAAATCAAAATTAGAGCCTGGTGGTCTATAAATTAAACCTATGATGATATTCTTAAATCCTGTGTTTTCAATTTCAATGAATAAAGTCTCTGCATGTAACAGTTTCACATCGGAACGGATCTTAAATTTCAGTTTTTCAGCAATGTAGAAGGCCACGCCTCCGCCTCTTTTTCCTTTGCGATCTGCGCTTATCAACTTATAATTTGGTAAATTAAACAAATCTGGGGAATTTTCATGTAGCCACGTCTCGCCAATACCAATAACAGAGAATTTGAAATTGTTTAACGTGAGTAAGAGATTTTCAAAATATTCGAAGTTTCTATTCAGACTTCTTAAATGTGCATGTAAAAGGGAAATATCATTTGGATTACTATCAAACATGTTATTGAATTCTTGAGGTGTGTAGTATTTGCTATTGTGTGAATTTTATATGTAATTATCAGGAATAAAAGAGAGTGACTCCATCAGAAACGATAAAATGTAAAGTACCAGATATTATGTAAGGGATCAACTGCAAGCGTGCTTGTGGTGTAGGTGCGTTTGCAAGTGACTGAACGTGTGTTCGTGTGTGTCTGTGGTGCTGATGTGCAGTCAATATCAATATAAAGTTCATCTATAAAAATAATAAGACCCATCTTGGTCATCATAAGAAAATCACTGGAAGCAGGAGAGCAGAGCTCGACCACCTAAGAACATGTATATAATAGTTGAAATCATTTACACATAAAAAGAATAATAAATAAGTGGTCACATACAAATGAATAAGGAGCAAACCCAGGAATATGCTTTTTTTTAATCATAAAGTGCATAATAAGATACCTCTGAGCAACATTGGGTGCTTTTAGAAGAATCTGCACCAAACAACCCGTATTTAGCCCTAGCAGCCCCCACTAAGAGTAACAAGACTAATTAACGACGGAAAGGATCGAAGGAGCTTTTATTTCATTATTATTAGTTTTGAATGGTTCATTCGTGATTCATAATTGACTCTTTAATTTGGCGCTAATTAGGTGCCAATTAATTGTATCTGTCTAGTTAGACTATTCTAAATACTTGAAATATTCTTTGATAATATGCATGAGAATATTGTAATAGCGAGTACATTTCACATTCTCCAAATAGGATTGCAAGATACGTAGAAAAGAGAAACAGACCAATGCGACGTACTATTACAAAAATACTGGAAATGGAACATATGTGAGCCTTGTTACTCCTTACACCCAACAATACTGTTTAAGAAATAGTTTCATTTAAGTAATGTTTATGGGATCTGTTATTTTTCAATCAATGTGCCCATGGGTGATTGCTTCACGAGGAGTGAACTGATATTAACAGCTGCGACCCCCTTACATTTCCTAATGTATAATGTGATGCTCTTGAATTACTTTTCTTAATATTTGGACCCTTACATTAGATGATGGGTACCTGAAACATATTTGGCTATAAGAGCCTCATACCCACAATGTATCAGTTTGTTACCGAAATAGAAATGTTAATGTGATCATATTACCATCAAAAATAGTTTAAAGCAACTATCTTGACTATGTAGATTCATTCTAAGTGTCGTTTGTCCTTTCGGCCCTTTTAACCCATTGCTTAGGGGAACCTAGTGGTCCCTGTGTTAAGCCTATGGGAATAAGATAGTTCAGTAGTCAACAGGTTAAAAACAATTCCTAGGCCCCTGTGGTCTTCTGTACCTATACAATATTTCACTGTATTGCTCATAATGGGGTTTTTTCACCAACGAACGTTTTCAGCCAAAATATTTTTTCTCAATGCTTAAAAACACTGATGTGCCCCTATAACATACCATTTTGGCACTTGGGCACCAATTTTCAAAAATCAGTTGGTGGCATCGTTTTCAGCATTAGATTTTACTCAACAATCCACAAACAAAATGTAGGTAAACACCATTTCCATGTTGGAGCCGTCTGTGTTCCTAAGTTAGTGCATATGATTCGAAAGTAAAGTGGATATCCCAGGACAATACTTTATAGGATAGCTTAATAATCCTTGTCCTTATTTGAATATAGTGCAACCATGTACTTATGGTCATATAGCCTTGTAAAACCATGTAACTCTAACTTGATATGATGAAAATGAATCGAAAGCGCTTTTGAAGTGTATTCCATCTTGCGTTGTTGAATATATTTATATATATTTAAATGAATATGGATGGGTATGTGTTAGCGCAACTATACCAACAAACAATTCGTACATGTCCTGTAAAATCAATCCCACTGTGTTTCCCGACTCTCACTCGGTGCGACTGCAAGAGGTTCCAGATCCATTGTAAGACAACTTTTGTTTTAATGACGGGAAAGCTTTTAAATCTCAGTAATTAAATTCGAAAACATTTTCTATAACTCGAGGCACACAACGATGTTCTACCAGGTGCCTCGAAATGGAAATATGTAAAGATTCGAAGACCTAATTCCAGTTAGAGGAAATATGTGGCTATAAACTTGAATATCCTTTTGGTTCTTCACTGCTTTTTATATTTTCTCGAATATCATCAGGGTTACATCTAATAAATTTATATAGCACAATATACTAAGAAAGTGTTTTGACATCCACTCTTCTGTATCTATCTTTTCCTTTCTAGCGGAGTTGGAGGAATCGACGCAGTTGAAAACATCGCTGAGCTCATCGAGACATGCCGCCAAAATACCAGTACGTAGGCAAAAATTACTTGTTATTCAAAACAAAATCTGAGTTCTACGTAATGGCTCTCTCGAATTACATTTTTGTCTTCACATTGATTACATAAATATCGTTAGCAACTATAAAGACAAAACCCATCTTATATTACTATATAAATGCCAATATTCGTTTTGTAAATCAGTGTATTAGAAAGAAAGTTGGGATGCTATTTAGATTGCGACATTTTGTTCCTAGCCGTATTCGGATATTATTATATAAAATATTCATACAACCACACATTTTTTATGGAAAAGAGTTGTGGGAAGCACATATAAGACTAGCCAAAGAAGTATAATGTATTCGTAGAAAATGGAAATTCAGGCTTTAACATTTAGTGAATGAAGAACTCCGACAGCTCCATCATTTAAAATATTGCGAATCCTAAATGTTTATAATTTACATTATTTATCAATTTGTACTTTCATGTTTGATCCTGTCAATGATAATTTGCCTCATATTTTGATAGAGTACCGTAACATTATAGAGCATAGCTATTCCACAAGATAAAAGATGGTGGACAATTAAGTCTTCCAAAATTTAGAACGACACATGGTCAATTTTCATCGTCAGATCAATGAGGTCTAGAAATAGGTTTCGGAACTGTAACAAATCATGAATGAAATATCAAGTTTGTACATTGTAAGATATTGTTAGGTATTCTTATTTTTTTTTAAATATCGATTGTAATTGTAAATTCATTACTTTTGTTTCGTAACGTTTTCTGAACTGATATGTACCAACATACTTTGTTTTAGCTTTTGAAGGGGTTAGGCTCGACTAGCGCATGTGCTATTATTTGGCCCCTTTAAAAAAAAAAAACGTTTCTCTTCTTGTATATGTAAACATATTGTATGAAATGATTTACTGTATTGCTGTTGGTAAATAAATTAAATCAAAAAAATTATTAAATCAAAAAATAAAATTTAAGAAATAAATGTTTTCAGTAGATATTTCCTGAAGAGTGTGAAGTGATTTTAAGGACATGGTTTAATGAAGGACGAATGTTTATTTGTTCAGCCAGATTTGTAGCAAACATCTGTTAACAAATTACATTACGACCATTTTGACTCATCTGTATCATATTTAATGATTTGTCATTTTATTTACTACCAAGATATCAGATACCATACGATTGGAGTAGATGTTAAAAGGAGTAGGTTTGACTTTTTTGCAATAGTTTTCTTGCCCTAGCCATCTTTAATATAAATGAATGCAATTTTGCTTTAAAATGTTATTGTCGTTTTCCACAAGGAAGAAATAACTTCGTTTGCACAAATCTAAGTACTTTATTATTTATGTATTTCTAATTAGAGAATGGGAGTGTCATGGTCAATTGGTTTAAGGCGCTTGACTGGACATGCGAAGGTCGAGGGTTTGAATCCTGACACGGAACTAATATCATACCTGCACTTGCTACTCTCCACCCAGGTGTTAAATGGGTACCCGGTAGGACGCAAAAGTTAATGTGGTTGGACGAGCAAGTGTGCGCTTGTAAAATGGCGACTGGCAGGAATGCTCCCCAGGGAGTGGAAAATATGCATGCATTGAGTGCGGGTAAACCTGAATCCGATGACCGGGGTAATATATCTGTAAAGCGCTTAGCCATATCTCTGGGTCGATACGTCACATTTCTAGAAAGTTCAATTTCTGCCCTTTCAAATGACACCTCAGTCAGGAAAAATGAGCCATGAATAACAAAGTTCTGTTTGTTTAAAGTAAGGCTTGCATTTCCATAATATGATCAAACGAGTTCGTTTTCAATGGCTGCCTGCCGTAGCAACGAACAGAGTTGACAAAAGACTTAGCTCCGTTTCGTTGACGATCAGCCATGCACAAAGAATACGAGAGAAAACGGAGTTAAGTCTTTTGTCAACTATGTTTGTTGCTACGGCAGGTAGCCAGTGAAAACGAACTCGTTTGATCAAATTATTATGCTGAGCTAGGATGATCAGGCCAGCTGTATTATGATCCAGTCTGAAGCCAAACTGTCTGCATGAGACTAGTTAGTAGGTGGCTTTTGGGTTGGTTGTTGACCGAAGCTTCAATAACCTCACAGATTATGCTGAGGAACTGTGTCAATGTGTTGAAAATATACCATACGTACTGGCGGGAGCATTTTAGAGACGCAGCCACATTCACCTTGTTTTAATTTATGCCTTGGCCTTTGGCTTGAAGTTTCAAGCCTTAGCCTTTGTTTTGGCCTTGGGGGTCAATAACTTGGACTAGAGGGTTTTGATCTTGACTAGATCACTGATTGAAAATTACCCGAATACGTATCGTTCTTCAAAATAGGAAAATGGTAGCAAATGGCGTCCATTTTATTGTAAACCGAATGCATATAGCTCTGTTTCATTGGACAACGCCCCCTATTGTCAGAGTCCAGCAGCCTAACATGTTAGCCTCTGGACTTTTACAAAAAACGTTAACAATTCATTTTTTGTTTAAATGAAAAGCACAACCACCCCGACGTACGTTGACACTAGCTCTTTCATTGGAACCCTCATGTTCCATAGACTTTTCAAAGTTCACCCACAGTAATTTGATCAAAATAGGTCGTCAGCTCGCTATTGCCTATATAACAAAGGTACAACAAGTCGAACTTTGGACGCAATTTGCCACGCGATTGTAAGGTTATAGACAAAGCACACGAAGGATAACAAGCATGAATTATCACAGATCAGTTCTGATGGGTTCATTATTTCCATTTCAGCCAACCCCCCCCCCCCCCCCGTAATGTTTGCATTTAGTGTAGGCAAATATTTTGCCGAGGTAAGCAAAAACATGAATATTCATGAACGCGCCATGGACTATTCGATTATTTACAGAGGGGTGCAATTATGCTATACATCAAAATCACCTACACTCAGTCAAGTATTTCATTGTATTATGTAGTTTGGTAGGTTCATTTTACTAACTGGTTACAGATAAGGAAAAGGTTCTTGTATTTTATATTTAGCAAAGCAATCTCACATTCAAAATCACTATCAAGTGTCGTCTGATCCGCCGATTGTCGTTTTATCTGTGGACTGTGATGTAAATCGACAGTGTACTCGTCATTGTAGATTTATGATTAGCCATCTGTCATTATTAATTGTTGACACACATACAATTATCACACACATGAACACTCTCACTTCCCCTCCCCAACACACCATTTCCGCACACCCGGTTCAAACATCATACCCAATGGCATATACACCCTGCAACATAGTAGAACATTATATACGTCGAACTAGCTACGTTTGGGCTGGCAATAGTCCAGCGAGCGAAAATGAGACAACCGGAGCAATATGGGAAATATTATGTCTGCCGTTGTAAATATTATTGTTTAACCCCAGTAATAATCAAATTAACGACCATTTTATAAATATTTTAAATATATGTTTTAAGATAATCTTATACTCTTTATAATCTTAAACTCTTTTCACATTTCTTCTTTTACCAATTATTTATTTCTAGAAAAAGATTTTTTCTTAGACTTCGTCTAGTTGTTGAAATTTAAAGCAACAGATGTAACAGGTAAGGTCCGAGACGAATCACATTGGAATCCTCATTATAGAATAAATGTATGGATAAGTCATGTAAAAATAACACCAGATACTGATAATTAATACGGACAAGCATCGTCATTCATATCGGCTTAATTCATCATCATTCATAAACAAAGCAAGCGCTTCAATCTCCGAAGTTCCTTGTTATGTTTCTTTCTATCATGTTATTATTTTTTGACATCTATTCATTTACACACAGAGCGGCCACCATCTGTCGTGATAACCCACAAAGATGCGATATCGGATGGAGAAGTCAAAAAAATGATCGTGTCCCTAGAAAACGAGAGAATCGACCCGGAAAAAATATTCGTCGTTAAGAACGTCACATCTAAGGATGGAAGTCTCAACGATGAGACAAGGTCAAGCATCCGTAATTTCATTCGAAGCTGTCGGGATGATGGTCAAGCCGGTGCTTTAGCTCACAAAAGAAGGGAGAATGTGGAGGAGAAACGGGAGAAGAAAAAAGTTCTTAGGTATCAAAAGGAGATTTTAAAGGGCCAACATGAGCTTAAACAAGCGGAGATAACTGAAGCTAAAGCGCGATTAGAAAATGAAACAGAAACTAAGAAGGAAATGGATAGTATGAAAGAAGCGGCTTTGAAAAGAGAAATAGAGAATGCTGAAAGATTGCAAGATATGTCAGAAGCAAACATTATAAAAATGAACGAGCTAAAGCTAAAGAATGAGAAAGATTTTCATGAGAATAACAAAAAGGCCCTCAATGAATTTTATGTAGGTTACTTAAACAAATGTAATCCTTAATGAATATCTGAAGAAACGAAATATTGGAAAAACAATATTAAAATAAGAATCATACGTTACAATTTTTTCGCCCCTTATTTTCTGAAGAAAACACTTGTGGGTAAGCTGTTTGGGTTTGTAGGATCACTCAAAGTTCGGATCACGAAATTAAAAATGAAATTGACTCTACTGATTTTCATAATTTTGGTTCTATGTATAATGGCAGTGCAGATATTTAACCAATAGAGAATGATATGAGTTTTTTTTGAGGGGGTGGGCTCTTTTTTTGTACACTAACATATCTTGTTTTCTTGATTATTATGGGTTATTCGGACCTTTCCTTCGGTGTTTAAAATCTCTTGGACGTATCTAGTAGTAATCAATAGGATGGTAGTAACAATGTACTAAACCGTATAAAATCACCATCTTCTCCTATTTTTTCTTTTCTTTTTTCTCTTCATATTTTCTTTAATTTTCTGTAATTTTCTTCATTTTTTAAGATATCTTGTAGGCACTTAAGCGTACGCCAACATTATTATTTTCATCCGTAATTTTTCTAAATCAATATGTATAAACTTGGTAATTTCTGTGTACTCCGATTTCGGATTCGATTACTTAATTGTATTCTGTATTATATTTCAGTTGCATAATCAGCCTGAAATTAAATTCTTCTTTTTATTAATGTAGTCTGTACTTAATATATATTACTTTGTGAAAAGTATGCTATAATATAATATAAGTGTGGCCTACCACCAACAAATTTAGCTTTTCAATGAATTGAACAGATATTGTCGATGAGAAATGTATGGCTGAAATGTTTTTTTTAATTTCTGTGGAGGTGTTGAAATGGTATATCTGAATCGTACAAAAAGCAAAAAATGTTTCAAGGGAAAAAAATATTTTCCTGGCATTATTCGTGTGAAAGAATAGAAATATATATAATTTTCCATAAAACAATGTGCATTGGACAGTGTTTAAATTGACTCAAGGGAGTATAATATCCATACTTTATGAATAAAGACTTGATGACCTTTAGCATTCTCGGTGGAAAATGAGATTTAAATGATATCGATATTTCATTAGTTAAAATTCCTAATTTTGAATGTTCGGAATTATGAAAATCAATTAGGTTTTATAACTTCGTCGCTTTGTAATTACGAAAACGGAATCAAATCCTTTATTATCATCGGAATCATAAAGAATTCTTATTTCTTTAACATTAGGAACCGCATTACATTTTTTGGAATTACGATCCTTGGGAATAATAATCCAAATTATCAATTATCCTAAATAATGAACTTTTTCATTAGATAACTGTTCGGACTTTTGGACCAAAGCCCCTCCCCCCCCCCCCCAAAAAAAAAAACACACACACACACACCACACCACTCCGGTATGAGAAATGTGTATTGAATGTAAATAAAGAAATAAAAGGAACATTTCTAATTATATGACCTTATATGAAGGTTTTGCATTTCTACAGATGTAGATATCATACAGTTTGTACGATAATTTGAATTATCAGTTAGATTTTTATTTTAAGGTTCGTTGAGATACAACGCGGTAAACCCCCGAAAAGTAAATGAATGGCAATTGCACTCAAACCGATCTGTGCTGAGCTGTGCGTTAATATATACATACATGTAAATTAAAGCGTATTACACTTTCTGTAATCATTTAATAAAACCGCCAAAGTTTAACGCATTATAATCTGAACGAGACTTATATACTGGGAACGTACTGGACATTGTAGGATTGAGAGATTTTAAGACCGTTTCATTTTTATTTGCTTGATTTTCTATTTTACACTGCATAACCATGTATACTTCTATTTTTGGTGAATTTTATCTTCAACTGTTAGCTAATAATAGGCAATGATCTCATTTTTCGTATTTCACGTTACATATTCTTGATTGGTGCGTTTGCTTTGTTTTTGGTCCTTAGCATTCTGCGTATCTATGTTAACAGTGTACTTTATCTAGTTCCGTTTAACTCCAGCTATTCACAATTATACTTAACTGGAAGAAAAAAGCTATGTGCTATAAGTAACAGAAATGTTATAATTTTAAATTAAAATGTAATGTACAATAGTGTAACAAGTGTATTCCACTAAATAGGTGGTTACGTTATGCATTCAATGTCTATGTAGTCTATGTTATAATGGAGATATCATGAAACTAAATTTAAAAAAATTATAATAAATGTTACCGGAAACACTTTTGGGAAGATCGTAGCACGTAGTTTATATTAATGTATAGAACGTGCTATTGTAAGCGGTTGATAAATGTAAATTATTTTTTTACCCAAATTTGTTGAAACAAGCTTTTTGTTGCTAATCAGTTGTTGCATGCTTTGCTTTATATATTGTAGGAAATTATAGAGCTAGCGTATAATCATGTTTGTGATGAAAAGTGAGCAATGGTAAAATGTTATGATATACATAATTGTAACAAAACAAATAGTATAAATTACACTGTGTACAAATCTCTGTACAGTGCGTCTACAAATATACACACTTTGAAAATATTTTTACAAATAACAATTTCATAATATCTGCATGACTTAATTTCTTATTACACAAACATGGGTGAGGTTCTTTTCAATCGGATGATAGTAAAATATCAACATTATTTTAAACTAGAGTTAGCACTGGCTTCTTTAGAAAAACTTCTTTTTGTTCAGGTCAATCTTCTTTTGTTTTCTACACAAGATTTCCATCTTTGTGTTTATCATTTTGACAAAATTTAATAACAGACGAACGAAAACTTTAGACATGCAATTTTAATTTCAATTCTAATTTCCAATATGCGATGTTGTCTGGAGCATGTGAAAAATATGCAGTGTAATGCATATCGATATCTCTTACATCCAGCTTTAATTTTTTTTTAAAGCATTATGTGGATCAATATATATATTTCATGTCTGAATTTCTGACTCACGATGTAACACCTGTACTTGAGTACCTTCACATTTACCTTTTCTTGGGTCTTGCGACTTTTAAAGATGCATTAAACATTGACAGAAAAAGATAAGCAAAGTCGATAATTTCAACACAATCAACGCAAAAATGTAATGGAAATCAATCCCTTGCAATGATGAGGCATCGTTGAATTACAGGATAGCTTTTTCTTGAATAGCAAGGTAAACCTCAGCAAAACTTGCTATGGGAGTACATGAATGGAGGTGTCTAGATACAATTATTGAACACCTGTTTTGGTAGGACCCCGCCCCTTTCCTTTGCCAATTTCTAGATATGCAACTCGGGTATGGCAGAGCCAGTTAAGCCCTATATATATAAGATTAAAGATAACAATTGTTCCGATCAATTATTAAAGATATAGTAAACAAAGAAGATATAATAACTGCTTGATTTGCAGTTTCATCCAATCCAAAGCTAACAATTTTAGAGCAAACAAGTTTTTCTCAATAATCCAGTGCTCACTCAAACGTAAGATTTAGTGTTATCCGAATTAATAGACTTTCTGTAGCCCTCCTGCATCTAATGTGTGTTAATTATGCATTCAATATATTTGTTTAAATTCGTTTATTATCTATATAAAATTATATACACTTAAAATATTGTATCAAAACATATTATGTTCATGAAAATGTATGATGAAAAAAGAAAAAAAGATGCAAAAAACAATAAGTCAAATCAAATCAAATCAAATTAAATCATCCATAATTTCAAAAAGGAAAAATAATGCGGATATCGTTAAACTCTAATTTTTGTTTACTTTTTAGACGGACTGTATCATTGTAAAGTAATTGTTAGTAAGATTGTTGGTTTGTAATTATTCTTCCATAAAACCTTGTAGAATAAATGATAAATAAATCAAAACTCTTGCACGGTGTATGGTGTTTAATAATCGTTATGTTGATGTTTCTTTGAAAATTGTCTTATAATTTGCCATTAGTATAGCGTATGATTAGAATGTGTTGACGGTTCAGTGTCCTAATACTTAAATTAAAAAAAGGAGTACTTACTTTTAAAGATATAATTGATACCCTTCTCGAAATTCCGAATCAATCATCATGACCTGCACAAATATATTTTTTTTAACGTAATGAAAGCAGATATAGTCTTAGTGGAAAGATCAATAAGCGAGCAATAGTGCAAAAGAATATGGACATGAAAAGAGAAGAATTATCAGTAAATGAGACTAGACAGAAATGTTTGAACTAATAAAGTTCCTTTGAGCTTATAACTAAATGACAAGCATAGTTATTAAAACCTGCTGTGGTGCCTAATCAGCACTGTAACATCATTCAATTAGTATAAGTACACTTGAAAAGTCCTGAAACTAGCTCTGACGGTGCTAATAAATAACACCCTTAGAGACTTAGTGAAAAATAAGTAGCAAATGTGTTGGTGCTGTAACGGGTAGCACATGCACTTGCGCTATAAAAGCAGCACGCAAGAGCAATCAGAATATATCAGCAGCCTAAAGGTGCTATGCATATTTATTTTATCTATTTATTTTCAGTTTTTTTTTTAAACACGGTTGCCTCTTCAGCTTAAAATAAAATGCTGTCCGTGAGGGCCCCGGATGAAATCAATACAAACGATCGTATATCCAAAATAACTAAACAAAATATCCATAATACACAATCGTAATGTAGAACTTACAGCAGGAAGACAAATATTAACAAGAAATTAAAACACATGTATACATACAAATTCAAGTAAGTGACATTCAAACGACTTATAGTATACTTAACAAGTGAAATTGGGAGAGAAACTGACAGAAATATAAATACAAAGTGGGATATGTATGGCGAAGACAAAACAGGTTATAGAAGGAAAGGTGAATGGTAGAGAATGTAGGTAAAAAGTGAGAGAAAACGTGAGAAAGAGATTGAGGGTTAGAGGACAAATAAATAGACAATATGAGAATAACCAAAGAAATTGAGAATTTTGAAGAAAAAAATAACTTCAGAGTGGATTTGAAACCCTCATTAAACAACGATACAGTAACATACACATATAATTCAAAGTGAAACCATAGGCAGTCGAAAGA